CTCTCACTTACGCTAAGATATTTGAAAAAGCTAGAGTCCATGCTGAACACTGCATTACTGAAGCAACTGCTTACAACAAAGAAAGATGGGACAAGACTCACAAAGAACCATCTTTCCGAGTAGGTGACCAAGTACTCATATCTACTACAAATTTCAATAATTTGTCTGGACCAAAAAAAATGAGGGATTCATTTGCAGGACCTTTTATAGTGAAAGCTCTACATGGAAAGAATGCAGTTGAAGTCATTCTGACTGAAGAATTCAGCAGAAAACATCCTACCTTTCCAGTGAGCCTAGTCAAACCCTACCATGCCCCAAATCCAGACAAATTCCCCCTAAGACAGAAAGTCAAGGTAGTGATTCCCCCCATGGAAGAAAACCCAAAGAACAAAGTCATCCTTAAGATACTTAGAGAAAAGAGGATAAGAGTTGACAATAGAGATGTGAGGATGTTTCTTGCAAGGTACAAGAACATGAGTGCAGATCAAGACGAATGGCTCTTAGAAAAGGACATACCTGATGCCACCTCACTCCTTAGGAAATTCAGGAGTGAAAAGAGAGCCTCTTGATGTTTTATTTGTAGGAAACAAAACCTCTTTTGGTGGTAGGGAATGTCAGCCTTAGAGCCAACCAAGTTGGCCAAAAGACTGCCAAAACTGCCCATTTCTATTCAAAATATTATCATATCTTTTTTATCTTAAGACTTTTAACCATTCTTACTTCAGAAATGGATTCCTGGTGTAAAATTAACCCTAGTCACCACTGACCACTTTTACCCTACTCCATTCCTTCATTGACTTTGTAATAATTCACAGTACTCAAAGAATTATTCCAACCTTAGGTTTCAGCTCCCTCTACCACATGTACATGCCAGATTACATAATCCAACTTTGAAAATCCTCTCTGAGCTTGTTGATTCCGCTTCCAGAGGATTTTCAGACTCCAGACCACCACAGAACACCAACACCCAGAAACTGATCAAGCCATCACTTATCAACCAGAAGCACTCCACTTTTCCCACCTTTCCCACTACTCAGTGACATTGGTGTCATTAGTAAGTACTTCTCATAAGTTTTAGCTAGCATCTTCCTGCTTGTTTATTCTCTCAGTCTCTCTCAACCTTTTCTCTACTCCTCAAAACCAAAGCCCTGATCCAAGAAAGCAAGCCATAGCTGCTATTACCTCAATTCTCCTTTGTTTGGTAGTATAACTGAAAACTACATAGGTTTCCCTTTAAAGAGCCTTGATCCTTGATCTAAAAAATTGTGGATTGATCTGATTTATCAGTTCAATATCCCATTTCAGTTTCTGTTGATTTGGAGGCGTCAGAGTTAGCTCCGCTTATTACCAGCCATCCTTAGTGGAAAGTAAGACTGCTCAACTTAATTCATCTTCTCAAAATAAATAAAGAACAAAAATATTATCTCTTTTTCTCAGTCTTTCATTCCCCCTTTTCTACTTTTATTTGTATTCCTCTTTTCTCAAGAAATACATCTAAAAGTGCCCCCCAAATTCTTGTGTCCTGCTGTCACTATTGAGACCCAGGCTCACAATTCTCCTCGTGATCTACAAAAGTCAATGATGCAATTCAACAAAAAGGTCTTTCCACTGCCCCCAGGACCGTCGAGATAAAATAGTCTTGATCTAGATTCTGGATTCTGCATAGATGATGTGACCATATCGTAAAATTGGAGCTGTGTTGTGTTCAATAGGCTTAAAGATATTTTCCAGCGTTGGTTGCAGTCGACAGGTTCCTCTCCGTCTAGATTGTTTATTTGAAGTTGTTTCAGAAAAGAAATCTGAGTGAGACTCATCATCAATCCTACATCCTGTAAATTTGAGCCCATGAATTCCAGTATTGTTTGGATTTGATATAATATAAGGGCTTTGATTTGGTCTTCTTCAGGTTCAGTAATGTGATATTTAGTCTTCAAATTATGTTCCACGTCGTCTCCAAGATTGTGCCAATGGGATTGGAATAAAGATGTAGGTCCTGCAGGGGGGTTAAAGATCAGTATAATGGCAAACATCACCCTCAACTGATGCCCAGTCTTGAACATTGCCCCTTCCTTTAGAGCTTCGTCATATTGCTTGTCGTTGACCAACAGACCCAAGGCATCGGCGGCTTCCCTACAAGTCTGATATATTGTTCCATGGGCTTCTCTCAGATCATCCCACGATTGAATGTTCTTCTTATGAACCAATATAAGCCTCATGAAATATCGTTCACCTTGATGCATCGAGATGAAGTGAATTTGGCCTACAGTTTTGAGGGCTTGTTTTCTTGGTTTCCATCAATTGTCATCTTGATCCCAGTAGAAATATTTTGGGATTTCGTGATAGAAACAATCACGTGCTGCCACATTCAAACCTATTGCGTCATTCTTGTTCAACAAAAAAAATTGATTGAGCATTGTCCTGGTTGCTTTATCATCAGACAATTTAGTTTGTGCGTCTTCCTTGGACTTAAAATATATTGGATGACAGTTTTCCTCATGAATCCCAAGTCTTTGAACCGCAGGAAACCTATGAGACAATTCAAATTGAAAAATTCTCCAACAAGCTGGAGTAATCACAATCAGTTGGAGTTAACTTGAAATATAAGTATATTGCTAAATCTCACCTTCAACTGGGCCTATGTATTGTGCATCGATGAAGGCCTTCACTTCATTGTCGCATTCTAAAGATAGATAAGACCTGTCGTGGCCTTTGCAGATATATTTATAAAGATATTTGACGGCTTGGATCCCAACTGCAACTTCAACATTGACATGACAATTCATCATTAAGGATAAGTCTCGATTATAGGGAACTACATTTCTGTTGTCAAACTGTAAAGGCCCCTTCTTGATTATGCGCCCATTGTTCCGTCGTTTGTATAAAGGGTATGCTCCCTCGACCATGACAGTTTCTTCTTGAAAATCCTTAGGATAGCGAAATCGACAGCGTCTTTTCCTGAGACAAGTTTTTCCTTCACATGGGCCATGTAACATGCATTGAGATATAATTTGGTGTAAGCGTGGGTCTATAACAGGATCTGGGATCTCGGCTTGGACTAATTCATCGATCCGGGAAGGGGTAGTAGGCTTGTCTCCAGGAGCGAAAGTCAACATCAGATGCATTTGAGGCATTCCTCTTTTTTAAAATTCAATATTTGCAACATAAGCGACAACTTTTCCTAATAAGCTGTTCTTGATTAGAATGTCCAGAAAAGCTTTAAATTTCAGTTTAGCAAGCCTTGCAATAATTGTAGGATGATTCGCTGCGTCAGATCGTGGAGGAATTAAGTCTGACATCTCGAACCACCCCGGATTAGCTGTGATAGTAATGAATAAATCTGGTGTGCCGTGTTCACGAACAATTGCCATCACATCTTGATATAACTGGTCCATGGCACGTGGACCACCAATAAACGTTGAAGGTAGTATGATTCTTCTGCCATTTGGTTCGCCAGCTGAGTTGAATGATTCAATAAGCCCTGAATACATTTCAACCTTCAAAGTTTCTTGATTGTTTGTGAACCAAGATAATTGTGAGTGTTCAATACAGGCGTACATGTCTACAACCAATTCCTGATGTAATGTTCTGCCTAAAAGTATAGCTGAAAAATAATTGGGCCTAGAAAACAATAAATATGACATCCATTCCAATTGGGTAACATTCCGGTATTTTGGTTCAGGTCCTGAATCCAGTAATAATCGATAGGTGGGTTCCCACTGTTGTGATCCAAATGGAAAGAAAAGGGGATATCGCAAAGGGAAATAAGCTGAATGCAAGTCTGAGATCTGTTTCAATGAACCGTTTCTTTGATGCAAAACAATATGTCAAGTATTCTTTGGTACACCTTCTCCTTGAATTATTAATCCAACATCTTCAGTTGTTGGCCTATTGTAGCGGTTTGGGTCAGCGGAACCATTCTCAACAGTACGTAACAGCATTGAAATTGGTTGGCCTTGTTTAATTATTTCTGAAGCATGCCTGAACAGTTTGGCATATGGGTTGAAGTTGTTCATGAAGGTTTGAAGTTGTAGGATGATGCGGTGATCCAATTTTGCTTGAGCGAGTTGCGAGGAATTAGATCCTAGGGCGGCGCGTTTTCGATACTGGGCTTCTTTCATTCCCCCTTGACCTACAACGTAAATTTGAGCAAAGTGGGGTTCTTGATTATTTTGCGGAAAAATAGAACCAATATCGTGGCTTAGGCCACCTTGAATGGTGAAAACAGGAGCCCCAGGAATTTGTTTGGCAATCTCACTTAAGGTGAAGCCCAAAGATGTGAACGAAATGGAATTGTTATAAGAACGGATATACCGTTGGAACAATTTTGCATCTAGAATGGAACTTCAGTTAGTAAGATCCTGAAAATAGTGAAGTGTTGAGTACTCACCTCGTGTGGTACCTATGAATAAGTCTTGGAGGAATCTTGGGATTTGGGGGGCCAAGATCGATGCACAAGGCAGGACGACATTGCCTTTTTGGCAACATATTGAGAACTTGTTCTTTTTAGTTTTGATGTCGATTACGGCTCGCTCTTTGGGCCAATGTAGGGCTCTGCAGTCTAGGCATTGAATGTTGCATGATTGCAACCTATGTTCACCAGTAGGGCAACTGCGAATGACCACAGGCGAGACACGGTCTTGGGACACGGCTGATTCCATAACTTTTGTTTGTTGATTTCAGAGGAGATTAAAGTTTAAAGTCGGAGCGATGATAGAGGCGCGATATAGAGAACAAATGAATATTAGACAGTCGAATTGATTAGAAATCGGTTTACGGGTGGGTGGGGTGTCGAGATTTTGATAGAAGGACACAAGAATACACCAAGCTTAAGATTGAAAATCTGGCCCACAGCAAAGAGCGAAAAAAAATCCAATTCAGGACAAATAGACTTCACGGCCTCCGCAATAGGAAAAAAGTGAAATAAAACACCCGAAATATAAATAGAAATAATATCGATCAAATAAAGTGAATAGAACCGGTTAAGGCAAGGACTCCAAAAACTAATGGCTTGGGGCTGATCTCCTCTTTTTAGACGGGGTCGAAGTTTCCGTAGCTTTACCCTTGCCTTTGACATTGGGGCTCAAATCCATAGCCAGGTCGTCGGATAAGGACCAATCTACCCCAAGGTTCGTGGATCTACTGGTACCCTCGCCTTTGTCTTGGGAGTTGAGTCCAAGGCTAGAGCCTTCCTGTGGCTGAATTGTTTGACTGATTGGTTCATGTTCCTTTTCGTCAAAGCTGACGCTAAAGGAAAACATGTTAATGTTTGGGCATCGGGGGATGGGAGGGTAAAAGTTTGAACGCTTACAATCGCCGGCCCTTGTTTGAAGGGCTAGGTTGAGGAGTTGAAGTCAAGGCTTTGGGACCCAGAGTATATACCAGTTGTAGTCGCAATAGGACTGACGCCCAAAACCTACTTATGTCCCGTCAGCTTCAATCAACGTAATAGACATTGAATTGGAAGAATGTACCTTAATTACTGCCATTCACTGTTTCAAAGCCCAATCAGCCAAGAATCCATCAAAGAAAAATTTGCGGCCAACGCGAATCATGGTATGAGTATTGATTAATTTTGGATTAGCGGGGATGATATAATTCACGTTGAATGATTTGACGAATCGGTCCTAGAAAAAGCATTGTCAACATAGTGCTAATACCAGTAGAGCACAAACAATGAACTGAACTATGGGATCCCAATCAGTATGGGTAACATGGATTGACAGGTCATGTTTTTTAGAAGTCTTGATCTCGTCTGGTTCATCTTCATTAGGCTTGCAAATGAAGGTCACTAATCCGACGCCTGAAGTAAATGTCTTGTTGGTTGAGTCTTCAATCTGATCGCTAGCGGGACAAATCTTGGCAACCAGGTCTAGGTAATAATTTAAAATTGGCAGGGAAGGACTGTTTAGGAGTAGTATCTTGTCGGGTACGGTGTAGATAAACTCGGGAAATAAGGAATGGTCTACAGAACCACTGGTATTGAGCATAATACGATAATCGACTGGATCTATAGCGTTGCAGGTAACATAACTTGGGGTCGAAATAGGTCCATAGAGTTGACCCGGCTTAATGGCAGAAGTGTACTATTTGAAATTGGAGCATTAGAATTGCTGTATCTTGATAGACATTAGTGAATCAGCCAGACTCACTGGTTCTAATGGTCGGAAATTACTGCTACAAGAAAGGGATCGGTTCTGAATTTTGTCTTTTTCACTCATAATTGCAGCTTTGTTAGGAGGCCTACGCACTGGTGTGAAGTGGGACTGGATGAAAAGTGTGCTTTGAACAGTGAAATCTAACACTCGTGTTGAGATGACCACGTTTTAAATAGAATCGATGGAAATGATCCAGGGACGATATAAGTACAAAGATGTAATATTTATGTGGAACTCAAAGGAGCAGGGGTGAGAAATTTGGAAATGGAAGGAGGGAAGACAATCCAGAAGGAATAGATGTACAACAATATCGCCTATTAAGATGAAGATTACGCCAGGGAGAAATAGAACATTGGAGCATGGGTTGAGGCCTCAGAACCATGAGTAATGCCGAAGAACCACTATATAACCGAGTATTGGGATATTTAAATTGCGGCAAATCATCCAAAATCAAATCCTATGCTTAAAGAACAATTAAGGGATAATGTAGAGGTAGAATGTTCAACCCTAGTCCAATGGTTGGTGCAAATATGTGAGCAAGGAGCGATGACTGTGGTCTGAGAAGGGGGAAAAAGCAATTAGCTTAGTATAGTCCTAAAAGAGGCGGGAGCTAGAGCTTACATAGACCAAATGTGTACCTTGACGGAAAAGTTTAAGTTATTCTTACACATGATACGACCGTTGATCCAGGCTGTGTGGCCGGGAGCGAGGTCCTCCCCGTACATAGCTTCAAAGCCAGGGGAAATTAATCAAAGGGTGGCCTAGACCAGGAGACAGTGGATCAATCTCAAATTTAAGCTGAGAAAATGATATAGTGAAACAAAACACTCACAGGGGAACCATTGAGAGATTGAGCGGTCAGGTGCGGGTGAATGCTACGGAACCTGATGTCGCCGCTAATTTGAGGAGCGCCGCGGTTTTGCATGAAGGAAGGGCAGTCATTTTGCCAGTACAAAGCATAGGCGGTAACATTTATTGTGTCTGTTGAGGTGGAAGGGTCAAATCTTCCGTAGTATGTAAGCCAAGACCCGCCGGTGGCAGTGGCTAAATCCGTAGGCTTCGCAACAATGGAATATTTAGGGAAGAACCGAGGGTTCAAGCGATTGGGGCTCAGAATATTGTTATCAATAAATTCGACTTGTATAGAACCATCGGGATTAACAAGGATGGGCGTGTCGACGTAACAACTGCCGCGTATATTCAAAAGAGAAGTCATCTAGTGGGGATTGGATATGGGACGAAGATATTTGGTTTAGACGATGGATGAAGAAAAATAATAGGAGGAAGAATTGAGTGTCTTTTTAAGTTAGGAAGCAAACAAAGGCAGAGCAGGGTTTCGTTCATAGAAACGTAACGGTATTTGATGATGATAGAAAATATGATCAAATTACAATAAAATAGGAAACAGTTGAGATATAGCAGAAAAGGAATGATGATTGCGAGGAGAGTTTAGGAGCGCATGTGTAAGGAAAAAAATTAAGTTGAGCGGTCCCGGCGAAGCGGAATTTCTGGGCACATCAAGGCAGTAGATGCAAATGGTAATGGATAGAGAAAGGCTACATAAGGAAAAGAAATAAGTTGAGGAGTCCCGGCGAAGGTGTGTTTCTAGGCGCAAGAAGACAATAAATGGAAGTTATTATGGATAAAAAAAGTCTGCGGGGGAATATTTTGATTTGTGGAAAAGGAACAAATTTGTTGGGCAGGGGGAGTAAGAATAGAAATACGTTGAGTTTCTAGATGGAAATGGTCATGGATAAAAAAAGGCTACTTTGGAATATTTTCATTTGCGGAAAAAAAAGCTGAGGGTGAGGGATTTCAGTGAACGAGAGGGCGGGGGAAAAGGAAAGAGAGCAAGAAAACATGGAAGACAAATGTGTCGATGAGGGGGATTAATTTAATAATACGTCAGGTGGCTAAATCCGCGTGATTGAGGCACAAGAAAAGGGAGAATGAGCTAGAAAAAAGAAAACAAAGAAGGCAAGGAATATAAATACAGGAGGTTCACGGAGGTCTATACCACAAAAAATGTTCAGGAAGAGAATGTATGTCTCTTCCGCCATTGCTTTACGCAATACATGTTTTTGGGGTGGGTTTGTGGGTTAATGTTAAACAGTTGAATCTCATTAGTAGTATGATTATCTCTTTCTTTCTTGTTGATTCTCTTTCTTTGATTCTTCTCTGATCTCTTTTTTGTCTTTAGTCTGGTTCTGGTTTTCTAGCAATCAATCATAATTTTTTCAGGGCCTATAATAGGGAAAAGGTCCAGAATTTCCTATTTGAGCTGTATTAAAGATGGCCCCACAGACCTGGGTACCCATTGCTTTTTAGCTGAAAACCAGAACCAGGTACATCACCCTGCACCATTTGGCAGGTACTGATGGTACTTTGGGCAGCTACCAACTGTACTCTGACCTTGGTGCCCAATTGCTGTAGATCCCTCCCATCAAACTGGTTGAGACCAATCAGGTTTCTGAGTAGATTTATTACCACCTACCTGATTGGTCTCAACCAGGGCTCTGAGGAGGGGTTCCTAGTGACCTGGCCAAGACCTGATGGTTGAGTCAACAAGGAGGGATGTTGGGGGTGGATACCTGGGTACTGTCTGGGTTTTTGGCCAAAAACAGACACCAGATACCACACCCTGCACCACTTAGCAGGTTCCATCAGGGATAGAGAGGTTCCTGCCAATGGGTACCAGGTACCACCCAATGGGTACCACAAGGCCGTTTCTAAGCTGTGTATATCCAGACACAATAGGACCTGGCTGATAGCCCCCATCCTGTGTGAACTTTCCAACACGGTGTAAAGCTCAAAAGTGTTTGTGAAAACCTTTTGCTGAGTGTGGAAAGGGATGAATGAGGATACCTCTGCCTTTCCTGGATCACTAGACACTAGACAAGCCCACCAATCTCAGATTGGAAGGCTTAATAAAGTGATAGTGGAGTGTATCAAAAGATAACTGTGGCTTAACAGGTGGACAAAGGGTTTAACCCAGTTTTATAAGGGTCTAAAAGGTTGATTTGAGAGGGAGAGAGTGAGTCTAGCTGATATTTCAATGTAATGGTGGTATGTAATGGTATTTAAGGATTTGTAAGGGTAGGGGGTATGAAATAGGTGGATACTAAACTGAGGGGAAAACAACTGAGAGGAGAGCCTCTTAAATACACAAAGGTGAGGGATTTTAGCTTCAGGGGAACAAGAGAATGAGAGATTTTAGCTGGCCAGAGCTTTACAATGAGGGGATTTAGCTAGTCAGAACATGTACATGAGGTATTTTGGCTGGTTGAGCCACCTACATGATGTCATAAGAGTTATTTTAGTTTGAACTAGAAGTCTACATAAGGGTTTTATGCTGGTGTAGCATTTTACATGAGGTGATGTACTAGTCTGCAAGCTAAGGTGACGTGATGAGTATTACATGAGTGGTGTGGGATAGTCTGACAGCTGCAAGGAAGATTAACAAATGACATGACAACCTGCATGATGTAAATTGTAAATCCAGAGTGGTACCGGGGGTTGATAAGCGCACGCCAACCCCCATGGCGCACGCCAATCTGCACGCCATTGCAGAATGGCGTGCAGATTGGCGTGCGCCATGGGGGTTGGCGTGCGCTTATCAACCCCCGGTACCACTCTGGATTTACAATTTACATCATGCAGGTTGTCATGTCATTTGTTAATCTTCCTTGCAGCTGTCAGACTATCCCACACCACTCATGTAATACTCATCACGTCACCTTA